ACAGAAGTCGATTTTAAATGTGCACATTGAAATGCACAGAGCCGCTTACTACGTGGACTTGCACTTGAGGTCAAGTGACGGACGGATTGTATGCTTCTCCATAATAATATTAATTAAACAATTTGCATGCTAATAAGGTAACAATTATCAGGGCTTCTGTTGAAAGATTCAGGTTATTACAACACGCCAATCTGGAGGCCAGGGGTCAGGGAGTGAGAGGCGAGAGAAATTTCAACTCAAATTAACATTCTGTCAGCTCCAGAAAATGGGATAAATAAAGTCGAATTAATTCATTATAATAAAGAGAGGGAGAGAGAGAAAAGTCCCCCCTCTCTTGTTCTGTGCTGGATTGATTACCATTCTGTATTCAGAAACACGTCCTGCTCGCATTCCTCTCCTGAAATCCGACAGAAAATGAGGCATTTATTGCTACAGGCAAAATTTGGTCCAGTGGACACAGTTTACATTTAGTATTTATAGAGAAAGAAATTAAATTATGGTGAAAAGTGAAGCCCTTGACCCCAGAATTAATACCAACCCCATCATTTTCTTATTTCTGTTAGGGCTGTGTAGTCCAAATTCAAGCTACCTTTTAGCTCTAAGCAGAGGCAGGGAGACCATAATTAAACTAATCTATAGGGAGGAGGGAGGGAACAGCAATAATACAGCAGTATATTGTATGGCATTCAATTAGGTGAATAAATACAGCTCCGGACAGACAGCATAGATTAGAGACTCGACTTCCTTTTTATTTCAATTTAACTTCCCCCTCTCTCATACCCACACAAACCAGAGCTAGGAAATGTATCATCTTGACTGGTATTTTATAACTGGAAAATCTATTTGAATGTTTTCCAGAGATAAAGTGTCTCTCCCTCTTTCCTCTTTCCCTTTCTCTCCTTTTTCCTTCCTACCTATTTTGATTTCTTTCCCTTTCTCACCCCACCGTGCCCGCCCCCCGACTCCAAGGATTTCATTCCGCACGAACCTCCCAGGAAGATTTAAAGAGTTTCCCCTGTCTGATTTCCCGGCCCGGCCCTTTCGCTCTCCTCTTTGTTAAACGCAAGCGCTGCTTCTCCCGGCGCCCCTCTTCCACCTTCCCAGGGCCCGGGGGTCACCAGGTTGGGTCCCCCCGGCCCAGGGGACCGCCAGCTCCCGTCCCACCGGGCTCGGGAGGGGAGGGGCTGGGAATTGCCCCCCTCTCCCTCTCTCCTGGGAGCTTGGGAAGTGTTTCCCTAACCGGGAGAGGGCACAAAACCGGGGGTCCCCAGTCCTGCGCTATGCCGGAGAACCGTCCCTTAAATTATTCACCGGAGGAATCTATCAATGTTTTATCTGGGTGAAAACTTCTATGGAGACGTAATTTAATTAGGAGCAGTTTGGCGGCTGTTTGGGAGCTGTGAATGACTGGCGGGATGAAGCGTGGAGTATGCGATGGGCTACTCCAGCGGAGAAGGGGGGGAGGTGAAATGGGAGGGATGTAGGGATGGGAACTTCGTTTGGGATTGAATTTTAAAAATTATTATTAGCAGTAGTTTTTGGCCTTCTCTTTAGTGATCAGAGGCTGCTTCTGGTTGTGGCTGCGCTCACAATCCGAACGTTGTGGTTACTGCTGGAGAGGGAGGTGTCCGTGGCCGAATCGATAGGAGATTGCATTAATTATGATTTCGATTGATATGCTCAAATCTCCTCCTAAACGCTGCAAACGGCTCTTCCTTTTTCATTTTTTTCTCCTTCCTTTCCTCTACCCCCCCCCCCCCTCTCCCCTGTTATAGAGCCGGAGAGGAGATGAAAAGGCTTGTAGTTTTAAATTCAATGTGACAGCTCTGGAAAGAGCGGATGATGAATCTCCTATTATTGGATCAGTCTATTTGCCGCTCAATGTCTCTCTGTAATTGGAGCAACATCACTTTAAAGGTTCAGAGAGTAGAGCATTTCTGGTGAAAAATCCCCACAACACGCTGGTGAATGTTTTAAAGGGAAATCTATTAGTGATTTGGCGAGGGGAGGGGACAAGGGGGAAGAGGGTGGGTTGGAGGGGTGGGGGGGGCTGTGTGTGTGTAACTCCGACTGTTTAGTATTTAACCGGGTATCAGGCAGATCCGCGCGTTCCCCTCCGCCCCCCCTGCCCGCCCGGCCCCCGCCGCCCTCCTCGGGCTGGAGTTCGTATCAAAGCCCCCCTCGTCGTGTTGTGACAGCTCTGATATTGTTTATTGAGGCTGGATGTCAGGTATAATTAGCAATCGATATGGAAAACGTTTGCTCCCCACACTGGCACGTCTCTGACGTCAGGACCGATTAACGTTTCTTATTGGTCCCAAATTCCCCCAGCCTGAGCTAATTATTGGGAGCCTGATGTTGATAAAGTTAAAGCGCCCGGCGCCCTGCAGCATGAGCCCCTCGCCGCGCCGCCTCCTCCGCCAGCAGCACCCCCGGCCCCAGCCACCCCACCGCCAGCGCCCCCAGCCCCGCCGGCACCCCCCGCCCTAGAGCCGCCCCCATGATGGACAGCCGCATCCTGGAGCATCCTCATGCCCAGTTCGGGGGGATGGTGGGTTTCCCTTACCCGCTCGGGCACCACCACGTCTACGAGCTGGCTGGGCACCAGCTGCAGTCGGCGGCAGCCTCCGTGCCCTTCTCCATCGATGGATTACTGAGCGGCTCCTGCGCCGCCTCTGTGGTCAACCCGGCGCCGCTCATCCCCTCCGGCTGCGGGGTGAGCGGGGACAGCCAGCCCTTCAAGCTCGCAGGTAGGAGCGGCTCCGTGTCGCGTGTGTCCCCCTGCCCCCCCCACCCCGCCACCCGGCCGTCGCTCCCCGCCTGGAGCGTGTCAGCGCCGAGGAAGAAATGCACCGTAGCCCCATCGGCCTCATCTACGAATTTTGGGGTGTCTCGAGGGGGAGGGTAGGCGGCTGTGATGGCCCCCCGAGGGGGCGGACGGGCCCGGTCCGAGCGCCGGGAGCGTTCCCCGTTCCCACCGGCGCTGGGCCACGCGTGTGCCCTGAACAATAGCGGGCCCGGCCCGGTGCCTTCCCCCAAAGTTCATCGCGTGGCAGCTCGGATCATACCATCAAATGATAATAATAAAAATAATAATGGGAATCACTGGAGTTTGTGGAATGAAGAGCGGTAATAATTATTTTTTTAAATGCGATTTAACCAAAGGGAAGCATTCTCCCTCCTTCCCTCCCTACCGGCCTGTGGCACCGCTATTGTTCAGCTACTAAAACATTCTGTCGCCCCAACATCCTTCTGGTTGAGCCTGGAGCTGCCCTACACTGCACCCCAACTAAACACAAATTATTATTATTATTTTATGATTTTTCTGAATTTCCACACCTGGGGGAAAACATTAGGGGAGGTGCAGCCAAGGGCTGAGAATCCCCAGCCTGGAGCTGTACGGACTCAAAGAGGCTGCGAACATCCCAGCCCCACGCCCGCCCGTGCTCGGGGGGACTGCGGGAGGCCCAGGGGCCGCCCTGCACTCAAGGTCCCGCGTGGAACGGGGCCGTGAGCTGTGACCCACGCAGGTGCTCTAGAGGGGCTGGGGAAGGGAAAGAGGGGGGGCTTTTAATTTTTTTTAATGAAACCTTTGGTGGTTGGAGCAAATATTGGAACTTCTCTCTCTCTCTCTGCCAGCTGAGTGCCTGTGGAGAGCTTCCTTCAGGAATAAATGTTCTGTAAAGTACATTTTCGGAGGAGGCGAGGGCAGATCGGGTTCCTCCCCATTTTTAGCGCAGGTGTGTGAATAATCCCGCTCTTTTACCAACGCTACCGAGCACAAAAGTTAAAAGGCTGTGAATGGCAGGGAGGGGGGGAGAAGGCCTGTCTCCCAGGGACCTGAGGGTATTTCTGCTTTTTCAGACTCGGGTGACCCGGACAAGGAAAGTCCTGGCTGTAAAAGAAGACGAACCCGCACCAATTTTACTGGCTGGCAGCTCGAAGAGCTGGAAAAGGCGTTTAATGAAAGTCATTACCCGGACGTGTTTATGCGAGAGGCTCTGGCTCTCAGGCTAGACTTGGTGGAGTCCAGAGTGCAGGTAAAAAACGTGTCCCCCCTCCTTTCCCACCCCCACCCCCACCCCCCTCTCCATGCGCCGAGCAGTCCCCGGGGAGGCCCCTCGGACACTTCTCCGGGACGGGCCCTGTGCGCTTGGGCCGCAGCCCCGCGCCTCCCGGCCCTTTTGTTCCCTGCCTTGCACTGCTGCTTGCTGTCTTATTTTATCATCATTATTATTACTACTACCCTATTTTTTTTTAATCTTGCGAAACGAGGAGAGTAGCAAAGCAGCCTGGCTTCCCTTAACGTTTTTTAGTGTGTTTTTTTCTTAAATGAGTCAAGGGCGAGAAAATTAGCATGCAAATATGAGGCTTAATCACGGGCCAGGGTATGCTGGAGAATGTCAATAAAGCTCGTAGGTGCATCGAGAGCGAGTGAAACTTGTAAAACTTAATTTTAACGAGCTGCTCGGACCCTTGGCGGTGCGGGACAGGGAGGGGAAGTACCGATCTGTTTTAGTGGATCTGAAAAATAAGCGGGAAGTGAATGAAGGGATGCGGGGTGGCTGTTGGATCTCGGGATGCTGTTTTGTGCCGCGCTGGCTGCGAGCGGGCGGCGAGGCCGAGCTGCGGCCCCGCATCTCTCCGAGACCCGCGGCCGTGCGGGGGCGGCTTCGCGTGGGCTGCGTGTGCGGGGAATGCGTCCTTAAACCCACCCCGGGAGCTGGGGACGGTCCCTCCGGGATGAGGCAGCGCCGTTGTCCGCGGTTCCTCCATAGGATTTGTTTCACGGTGTCCTTCCAGCCGCTCTCCCTCCCGCGCCCGCTCCCAGAGCCGCCTCTCGCCGTGCTCGGGAGCCTGCGGAGTCCGGCCGGGGGAAGGGGCCGGGATCGGGCACCGGTATTCCCGCGGTGCTCCCGAGCTGGGGTCGTGGCCCGGCCGGGACAGGCGCTGCCAGCAGCCCCGAGGGGGCGAGGAGGGACGTGCGTGCCCACGAGCTGCGGGGACACCGGGGACCTGCCAAGGCAGGCAGCAGCAGGGCCGGAGCAGAGAGGTTTTTATTTCATTTGATTTAATTTTTCTCCTGTGATCTATCTATAACAAACCAAACCCCCTTTTGGGCTGATCCAACCCCTCTGCTCCGTCTCCCGGGGGGGGCAGGAGGTCCGAACTCCGCACGTCTGGGCGAGGCACCGTCCGTCGTGTCCCCCCTGCACCCCCTCACCCCCAGCTGCTTATTGTGTTGTGTTTATCGCATTTTGCGTGCTGCTGCGGGGAAATCGGGCCAGCGATCGGTGCTTCTGCACCCCTCGGCCACAGGGAAGAGCCGGGGGGCTGTGGAATCCCTTCCCCTCCCCGTGGCGCCGGTGCGGGCAGGGTGCAGCGTGTGTGTGCGTGAGTGTGCACCCCCTTCTTGTTTTTTTTTTTCCCCCCTACCCTTTTAAAGAAGTGTGGTTATGTCTTCCTGCCCCTTCCCCTGCTCTCCGTTTCTCAGAGGCCCGATCCTCTGGATGGGGGCTGCCAGCACCTGGAAGGGGTGGACGAGGGAGGCCTGAGCTGCGCTTCTCCCCTCCGCCCACCGCCCTGGCCACCGCGGGGGGCCGGTGCGCTGGGTGTTAATTGCTTCTCGTTGTTCGGTGTGTAGGTCTGGTTCCAAAACCGCCGGGCCAAATGGAGAAAGAAAGAGAACACGAAGAAGGGCCCGGGGCGGCCGGCTCACAACTCCCACCCCACGACGTGCAGCGGGGAGCCCATGGACCCCGAGGAGATCGCCCGGAAGGAGCTGGAGAAGATGGAGAAAAAGAAGAGAAAGCACGAGAAGAAGCTGCTCAAAAGCCAAAGCCGCCACCCGCACTCTCCCAGCGCCCTCTCCCTCCACAGCACGCCCAGCTCCGACAGCGACAGCGGCGGAGGGGGGGGCCTCTCGCCCGCCCCGCCTGAGGCCAAACCCCGCGGGCAGCCCCCGCCGCCCCATCCGCCGCTCTCCGCCGCCGCCGCCCCCTCCGAGCCGCCCCCCGGCACCTGCGACCAGACGGCCGAGCCCTTCTACCCCAGCCAAAGAAGCGGGAGCGGGCGGCTCCAGCGCCCGCCCGATAAGGACTGCGCGGCCGCCCCGTCGGGGGACGGCAGCGGGGGCGCGGGGGGGCCCCGCGGCGCCGGCAGCTTCCACAAGCTCAACCCGTTCAGCGTGGAGAGCCTCCTCTCCGACTCACCCCCCCGCCGCAAGGCCGCGCCGGACTTCCCCAGCCTGCCCCCCTGTGCCCCCCGCACCCTCATCGGCAAAGGACACTTCTTGCTCTACCCCATCACCCAGCCCCTGGGCTTCCTCGTCCCGCAGACGGCCCTCAAGGCCAGCCCGGGCCCCGAGGCCGGCCAGCCCCCCCGGGACTCCCCGCTGCCCGCCGCCAACCCCGGTCCCCCCGGCTGCGGCGCGGAGCCGGCGCCCGCGGGGGCTCAGCCCGGCCCCGGCTCCACGGACACGGCGGCGGCCGCGGCGGGCTCGGTGCCCCCCGCGCCGGCAGGAGCCTCGCCCCGCTCCGCGGCCGCGCACGGTGACCCTGCGGCAGCCGCTCCCGCGGAGGGCGGCAGCTTCCCCCGGCCCGAGTCGCCGGTCCGGGCGAGGGACGCCAGCACAGCCAGGGACAGATCGGACTGCGGCCCCGCCGACGGCGAGGAGGTGGACATGGACTGACCGGCCGGCCGAAACAGAAAACACAACAACAACAA